GCCTCCTTCAGAGCGTAACGTTATCGCCGTGATCCACAATGGCGGACTACCTAAACGAGTTAGACGGTTAGAATTCTTCAGTCACGGCAGTCAGTCGGAATATACGGTTAGAATTTCTCTTTAAAACAAGACTTTTGTTTGTCAAAATTGTTCTAGATTTTAATAAGACGTAGCCATTCGTTATGTCAATCTATTTTAAGGAAAAAGCAATTCGAGAAAATTTGGAGTTAGACGGTTAGAATTCTCTGCCGACGATATACAAGCTGTCTATTGTCTACGTTCTCTAAATCTAATGTTCAGTGCTTCCAAGCGTGGCATCGAATCCCGATCCCGGAAGGGTTTTTTCCCCTTCTCCTAAGCCTAAAATTAAAAAAAAATAAAAAAATAATTAGACTCACAGACCAAGGAAAGCCACTACTGAACTTTAACCAGGCCTAAATTGGTAAAAGGAAAAGTATAGGCTATACTAAGACTAAGGCCTACTTTGTACAAAGCTCCTCTTGGGGACAAAACCAGAATGAGCATGCTTCATCACTACATAAAAAAAAACACAAAGCAACAAGATATAATTATGGGAACAATTTGTTGGTCAGTCGAGAAGAGGACAACAACAGCCAAAAAAAATCCCAAAAAAATCGAAGCCACAAAAAATATCCAGGACCGGGATCGAACCCACGATAAAAAAAATAAGGCCGGCACTATTTCTCCGAACATTCGGGAAAATAAAGCTAGGCACTATTTCTCCGAACACTCTGAAATCACATCCTTTCCCGCAAATTTCGGATATTATAGAGTACAGGCCTACCAAAGATTGTTCGTATACAATATGGTTCAATCGGTCCAAAAAAAATTATTTATAATATAAAGAAATGCAACAGTCCAAACAGTTTTTCGCTACAGATATGACGTGTTGCCTATGAAGGGTGCTGCTCTTAAACTTAATGATTAATGTGTTGTGTTCACTCGTGTGCTGTCTAGATCTAGATCTACGGAGGGTTTTATTGATAACGACACATAGAACTAGACTAGCTTCTGCGTTTGTCGCGGCCGCGACCAATCAATCGTGGCTCGAATTTTTGGTCGGGGAATAAAAGTCAAATTTAAAAAAAAAGAAAAACCGAAACCTCTTTACTTTTGAAAGAAAGTTCACTTAGCTTCACTTAGTCTCTTTCTCACTTGTTGTCACCACGTTGATTTGTTGAATACGTAGTTACTTTTATTTTTCCCTCTTTGACTCTTTGTGGTGTTTTATTTTGTTAGTGTGTAATTTTTTTTTCTTGTTATTGTTCTGATGTGTTTTTCTACCATTTTTTTTGTTGGGGAAAAGGGGGGGGGGGGTGGTTGCATAGTGTAGCGTCATTTAATTTGATGTTCCTACCTTCATTAGATTCTAAATATATATATATATATATGTATAGATTTAAATGTTTTATGTTAGAGCGTACGTTCCACCAAAACCGATTACATGTACTGACACTGGCAGGCCCCTTAATGTGTGTGATTCCATAGTTTACACGTAATATCCTGTAATTAAAAAAAAAATTTACGCACTTTTAGGGTTAAAACAGGCAATTTTCTTCGGACAGGTTGACACACACCCTTATTTGTTAATTTTTGTGGTTGTTTATGGGCTGTTCGACTAATTTTTATATAATTCTGTTGTGAAACCTTTCTTTTTCACGTTTTTAGATTCATCTAAAAATCTCTAGACTAGCTCTAGAAAATTGAAATAGATATATATAGATCTAGACCAAAAAATTTGCTCCTGTGTGTGTGTGTGTGTCTATGCATGTGCGTGTGTGTCTGTGTTAGTAAGTGTGTAAGTGGAGAGTGAGGAGTGTGTGTGTGTTTTTCGGGCTTTATTTCAGCCTTTATTCAGTAACAGTTCAAAGTATACAAAAATAGAAACACAGAATCCATTCACTCCAGTGCTCATGAGTCGTTCCCCTCTTTCAGTTTCAGTTTCACTCATTCTTTAAATTCCTGTGTTCTCTCCCGTGGCTCATCCCCGTCCTCATGACTTTCACACCCCACCCCCTCCCTCCAGGCACACACAAAGAAAATCTCACTCATTCCCTTGCACCCTGCGAGCCATGGGGGGGTGTCGTTGTCGTCGTCTTGCAGTTTTGCTGTCGCCTGTGGATACACTCAATAATTCCACCTTTCACCCTCTCTGTCACTCACACTGTCTCTCCATCGTCATACGTTCAAAAGTTTAGTTAGTGTGTGTTCAGTATAAGTTTGTGTGTGTACATGTGCATGATGGTGGTGGGTGTGTGGTGGGTGTTACTGAAGGTTGTATGTAGGCAGGCTGGCCATGTGGTGTTCCTTCCCAGACCAGAGGCAGTTCAGAATGAAAGTTGGCGCCGAACTCTCGCAATAAACAGGCAAAAAATCACGAGACCGGAAGCCGGAAACCACTCGGAGAAATAAAGATCGGCACTATTTCTCCGAATGTTCGGAGAAATAGTCACTTCGAAAAAATAATGGTTTGACTTTGACTTCAAGCGCAGACGCGCTGTCACTTCGGCCATCAGAACTTCCGATAACGAAGTTCAGATTAAGCTTGCTAGATATATTTTACACATGGCGACACAGCGTTTTATTTAGCACTGGCGCTAATCGCGGCGTTGCAAATAGGCACTTCCTTCACTGACCGGTCACGATGTCGAGCCCGATAAGACGCAAGATATTGAGGCTACGCGCACGGTTACCGTGTATGCGACATTGAGACTAGATCTCCACGGTGAAAAAGGAAAAATTAATGTCAACATCATGAAGGGATCAAAGCAGTTACCGTGCACCTAGCTCAAGGCCCCCCCCCCCGAAACTAAATACCCGGTTACCGTGTTCTTAGATAATGAGAGGTGCCCGGTTGCCGGTTAGCGTGTATGTAGATATTGAGGCTACGTGCCCGGTTACCGTGTATTCATGTGACATTGAGACTACACGCCCCGTTGCCGGTTACCATACGTAGACCCTGAGGCTACGTGCCCGGTTACCGAGTATGTCGACACTCCGTTAAAAAAATCCCTCCTTGCTGCCAGGACCTCCCCCCTCCCTCCTCGTTCACACCTTACACACACTCACTCACACACACACAAGCGGGCAAATCCATTCGCAAATAACCAAAAAATCTCCAGAACGGAAACCGCTCAGAGAAATAAGAGTTCAAGGAAAGACTGTTCTAGATCTAAATCTAAGTCTAGATCTAGAGATTCTAGATACATATTTTATATTAGATATCTAGGAATCTAGATCTAATATCTGATCTAATTTATTAGCCATTCCATTTTAAATTTAATGGCTCACCACTCCCTTTTCAGCTGGCTTAGGAAAAGTGTGTAAGTGTAAGTTTCCCCCAACAGCCCAACACTCTTTAAAAACACGAAGTGTATACAGACCCGGTAACCGGGAACAAAGTCACGAAGTATACAGACCCGGTAGGGGAACTCTTTTGTGATTTCGGGAAGTTTCAGCCCCCAGACCCGGTAGAAATCTATTGTGTGCGTGTGTGTGAGAGAGAAAGAAAGAGAGAGAGAGAGAGAGAGAGAGAGAGAGAGAGAGAGAGAGAGAGAGAGAGGACTGCTCGATTGAAATTATGACATTGTAACTTGTTCTTTTCTTCAAATTGTGATTCTCCTCCATCCAACTCCAAAACGGAGGAAAAACGATCGTTCATCGAAAAGACATCCGCAATCTTCATTCAGATCTCTAGATCTAGATCTATTCTAGATATAGATCTAGATATCTAGATCTAGATTAGTAACTTAATAAAATTCACAAACTCACCATCCATTCCTCATTCACATGTGATGCAAGTGACACATTCTGCAATTAACAATTGAATATGGTATGGTGGGACAAAAGTCAATTCAGTCGCCGTCCTTTCTTTCGCTTCTCTCATCGGCTAGCGGCTGACTGGCTAGGCCTAGAATACTACTCTAGAGTTAAGAATAGAATCTATTTAGCCTAGGCTAGGCTAGGTGTGGGATTTGGGAAATCTCGGCATTGAAAACGCCGCTGTTGGGAAGTTTGATTCTTAACAAGAATTATGATTGGCTCACATGACCAACGGAATTTGAGAGAATTATTTTGATTAGTTCTTTTACCATTCGTAGTGCGCATGTGCGGAAGAAGGACCAAAATTGTAAACAACTGGGGAAGTTCGCGTTTTGAACGAAGCAGAGAAGGAAATCATTAGTCCTTGCCAATATTAGATCTTGACTTTTGTCCGATTTGTCAAACAGCTGCTTTAGATTGTTGCACATTTGAAGTTTGAGCAACTTACTATTGGAAGGACCCCCCACTCCATTATAATCTGACAGTATGTGTAAATAATCTAACTTCTAAGCTATTTGAACAACGGATACGACATGCGATTAAAAGTAGATACGTTTGAACAACTCTGTCTACTTTCGCTTTCCAAGCGAAGTGCTTGAACTTGGACTTGCTTAAGTGTTGCCTTGGCTCTTTTAGATTTCTACTAGATCTAGATCTAGGTCTAGATCTAGGTCTAGACTCTAGATTTGTAGATCTAGATCTAAATCTGATCTAGACTATATGTGCAGATCTAGATCTAGATTAGATCTAGATATCTAGATCCTACTCCTTGCCTGTGCCTCAATCTGAGGGCAGTCGTTTATTCTCATTGCGTCTTTATTAAAATTACGAAGTGGCTAGCCGTACTTAAGTACGGCTAGACTGAGAGTCTAGCCGTACTTAGATCTAGGTTTGGCCCAATCGACTCAAGCCTGTTAAGTACACAGGTCTCATTAGATCTAGATATAGTAATTATTCAGGTTCAAATACATGCAAGTCAGTAAGGCACCTTTTGGTTTTGTCTGAAATACATAGCCTGACACTACTGACAGTCTAGCCGTCCTTAAGTACGGCTAGCCTGGATGTCTACCCGTACTTAAGTACGGCTAGACTGCCAGTCTAGCCGTACTTATAAGGCCCTATTAACATTAGAAAACAGGAGGTTTAAAATACATGCACTGTCATTAAGGCCCCTGGTTTCGTCTCAAATACAAATACTTTAGGTACTGCACACTAAAACTAAAAATGTATATTTACAATTCAGTAGGCCTATTTTTTGTAAATAGGTCAGTCTAGCCATCATATTAAGAATAAGTACGGCTGGACTGCGAGTCTAGCCGTATTTAAGTACGGCTAGCCTCTTCCTTAAAATTAAGGCTATACACACCAGCCCTCCCCTGTACAAAACAAATCCTGTTGTTGTCGCCACACCCAAATCAGAGACAGAAGCCCAAAGTTGCTTGGTCAATTTAATAGCTAAATTTTTACTTATTATGCACCCACACATAGATGCATTGATTTGAGGGCTATACCGCCATAATTTTTACTGTAGAACACACAGTATGGCCTCTAAAACCCTTGTAAATCAATTGTTTTCAAGTAAATATCAATCATAATTGCCAAAACATCAAATCATTGTGAAATACAGGGGGGCCCAGATTCTTTTTAGGTGAAACCCCCCATTATTGTTAAATTTACTATTTTCAAACATCAATAAAACTATTGATTTGCAGCAAAAATGAAGACCACTTCATGTTTAGAATGCAAAATACTACTAGAATCTAGATCTAGAAAATTAGAAAAAAGGTAGGCCCTATAGATCTATAAAACGTGAACATGAGACGGGTGCATAAGTAAAAAAAAAAAGTTTTTTATTAGCCTATTTATCAAATTATATTTAACTTTCTGTGACAGAGATACCCATGGTGCCCATTCATTGTATGAGGGATGGGTTCTCATAGTATGAGTCATATACACTATACACTGTACAAATTGAACTGATTGCCCGAGTCGCGGCCTGAAAACAAACACATTTGTTTTTAATGCTGCAGGTCAGGCGACTGGTTTGTTCTAAATTGGTCGCTTTGCGTCCTCAATCTGGCTAGCCGTGCCTACAAAACTGAACCAATCGTGCCAACGGGCACTGGGTATTACGAGTAGTCTACCTCTGAAAGTTTGGTCTGTTTGAACGCACCTGTGCCTGTAACTAATTAGGCTACAGTACGCCTGTACAAGTAGGCCTAGCCTCTCTATAGCCTACATAGTAGACCTCTTATATCTAGATCTAGCATTCCTAAGCCGCACCGCTATTACATTAAAAAAAAAAAAAAAATCAGAACTATTTTTACAAAAATATTCTGCAACTGGTTTATATTTATATAAGCAGCAGCAGATTATAGGCTAACACAGGTGTGGCGGCTACAACACATAGAGTTTAAAAGTGTCATTGCACTGTTTGCTGAATCGGTTAGTGTTCGTCGCGGTTTTATAGTATGATAGGCTGTGCGTTGAGGAAAAAAATGATCTGAGTACTTTTAATCAATGCGGCTTTGATTTATAATGTGAGCAGTTAACATTGTAAACTACAAAATGATTTAGCTGTAGTTGTTCGTTTTTAACAGTACTCTTTGCTTTGTTACCTTTCTTGCAGTAGATGAATCAGTAGATTTGACAGAGAGTGAGACTGACAGATTGAAAAGGAAAAACCAAAAATTCATATCTTATTACGAAATTCATATTTTTATTTTTATTGTACACTACCAAAGTAACTGTCTTGCTATGGGATGAATCAAGTTTCCCACTGTGATTGTGATTCTCATTGTGTTTTAATCTTGTTTTCTCTTCAACAGGTCAGCAAATTTTTTCCTTTTGACCTCAGTTGCACTCTCTTCCTAATGACAATGGCAGAGGAAATAAAGAAGTTCAAGCTTCGAGAGGAGAAGCATGTCATGACAGAAGTTGAATACATGGCCTGGTCACCTTCAATGGACCTTTTGGCTTTAGGAAATAAAAATGGAGAGGTATATTTATAACTAGCATTTTAAATTTTGTGTTGACTGATTCAGTGGTGTAGCTACTGATTTTATGGGCTGTAATTTGAGCCGTTGCTTTTAGATCTAGTTTATTTTTATCCTGATTTTTTATTTTGCCAAAACTTCCATCTACTTCACAAAAGAGCTCTATTTCCTAAACATTTTACTTTCTGATAGTGTATAGAGAGGTCTTAACTTGCTGGGTTTGCCTGTTCTCAAGCATGGTCCATCATAATATGATGTAATCATGTAATTTCCTTGCGACACCACAGTGTCCAGAGCTAAAATAGAGACAGTCGAATCTGTGTAAGACGGAATCGAAAGGGAGCCAGAAAAAAATTCCGTCTTAGACAGGAGAATTTAGTGGGGGGATGGAGGGAGGTCAAAGGCCCTGCCGGTGGTATGAAGGATCGCTTGTCTCGTCGGAAAGCTGTCAAAAGTGGTCAAAACTTCACTCCTCTCAGCTGCTATCCTCTCTGTATAATGACATGTGTCAGTCTTACTTATCCAATTACCTCCAGTGCTTGCTTTTCATTTTCATAGGACCGCTGTTTTGACTTATTAAAAACAAAAACGTTTGAACATCTCCTTTGCTTCCGCCCGTAGCCCCACCCATAGGTGTAATAAGCACAGTCAACCAATGCCATCCCTCACTGCCATGTAACAACGATTCGAGGAACTCTTTTCTCGGCTAGCTGTACGATCAGGGCAGTAGGCATTGGTCAAACTAATTTCACACCTCTGGCCTCTGGTTACCAATGAAAGTTTCTGTGCTGGAGCGCAACTCGAGCACTCTCACTGATGCTCGTGAGATTTCACACCTACACCACCCTGACCATCTTCATTGCTCAGGGCTCACATAGATAGGGTAACATGACATAATGTGTCCTCAAATTGCACCCTAACTCTCCTTCCTCGTCCTGCGACATGGCATTAACTTTAAAGTCGGCAGATGGAACCAAGCTTGTGAGTTTTGTTTCAAATCAGGGCTGAACGGGCAAAGCATTTTCCATCTGAGACTGGTTAAACCCCCTGAAGGGTGCGGATTTTTCTTTCTGTTTCTGCGTTGGACAGGTTTCCGTTTTACATAGGTAGTTAAAGAGGAATATATAAAGGGGGGAGCGGGGAGATTCTGTTAAGACAGGTTTCCGTTAAGACAGGTTCGACTGTACTATCAAACCTTATTGTACCACCCCTTGTTATACCGCCAGCCCTTCTTACTGCCAGGTTTGCCATTTGACGAAAAGGAACACCTATATAAACATAGTATTTGCGTCATCTTTGCACTGCCGTCCGCCAAATGTCTGAGTTGTATGGTCTTATTAAACTATAAATTTGCCCTGACATTCTGCCAGCGAATTGGCCGCCAGAAGTACACACTACACACTGCGCATGCCACCCACTCAGTGGTGGCTTGATAATGATCATAATCTCTTTCCCAATCCCACGCCTCTACGAGTTGGGCCAATTTCTAGTGTTTGTCGCCGATGCTCCTGATTTGTGCTGATTATGAGAGCCCTATTGTTTGTAGGGTTTGTCTATATTTTCAAAAATATTAATATAATTTTAAAGTCACCTGGAGAAACTGACTTGTTGGTTAAATTGGTGTCGCCAATCGTAAAATAACCAAAAGGCTGGCGGGCGCTAGTGAGACTTTTGTTTGTGAAGACTCACACTCAAGTCAACGTTAAGTGTCTTAGGCGGCCCGAGGACTTCTGAGTATCGGATAAAAAAAAGTCTTGACAAAGTTTTATGGCTCTTTGTTTATTTAATCTGATTTTTTAGAATATCCACCATTTACCCTAAAGGTCCAGGCAGCAGAAAGCGGCAAGGGCCTTTGGTTTAAATGAGACAAAACTGTGCAAGGTCAGAATGGATACTATTTAGAACATTCTAAAATATTGTGAATTAGTTTGCTAAATATAATTTAATATTATCCCTTGCTAGTTCTTTCAGTGTTAACTTATATTCCCAATGTAACAATTGGCAGCAAAAGACTTCATTCTTTCTTCTATAAGTTACTGTGTGTGAATGGTATTTAACTGACATTGATTATTATATATATATATATATATATATATATATATATATATATATATATATATATATATATATATATATCTATCTAAGTTACATGGTTCCAATTTGATTTTCAGGTTATAGTAAATAGACTGTCGTGGCAGCGTGTTTGGTCATTGTCTGCCCCAAGTGAAGGGGACAAAGTGGGAGGATTGGCATGGAGGCCTGATGGCAAAGGTCAGTCGATACCTTTATCAACTTTATGTACTCTTAAATCATTTTTTAATTTCTTTAAATTTTTTTTTCTCTGTACTTTGTTAGATTATTTTTAATTTTATAGTTTTAATGGTGCTCGGGCTCTCGGGGTCTAGAGGTATATAGGTACTGTGTTCGCTTCTCATTCAATAGGTCCCAGTTTCGAAACCTGACAGCAACTTTCTTCTCTAAAAAATTTTCTCCTTTGATCTTTCATTCTCTCTAAACATGTTGTGTCGTATACTTTCGCCTCCTCTTTCTGCTTTTCTACTACTACTCCTTGGCTCCTTACTGCTGTCTTTCACCCACACCCCTGAACTTAAGAGTAAGTAAGATTTATTACCTAAAGTAGGTAATATTTAATACTTACCCTTCTCTGATAAGGGTGAAAAAATCTCTGAGATCCTGTGTGGAAGTTGTACACGTTAAAGATCCCTTGGCGGTCATAAAATTGATAGATTTCAGCCGCCACCTGAGCAAAATTGAAAATTCATTTCTTACCAAACAGAAAATGCTTATTGTGTCCCGTTTACTCATATGACCTTATGCAGTTGTGAGCGCAGTAAAACAGTTACAAAAAAAAAGTTTTAATTATACATATATAAAATATATATATATATATATATATATATATACAGTCAGTCGAACCTGCTCTGACAGCCCCCTCTATAAGACAACCACCTGTACAAACGGCCACTTTCCATTCCCCTTTTGCGATTTTTCTACATCATTTAACTGTGTAAAATGGGCGCCTGTCCAACGCGACTGCGGCCACCTATTACACCAAACAATAACACCTGTCTTAGACAGCCACCAGGGGCGGCTCGTGGGTCTAAAAAGTGGGCGTGCACAAATAGGTTAAAGCAGGTTGAAGATAGTCAAGGGCATGTAAATTAGATGTTTTTTTAAATATACCTGTTTTGAAAAAATATATTATAACAAGCTGTGGGCCCCCTTTCGATGAAAGGGATGATCGGTGCTTTAATATCAACTAAAAGTCATTGGCCTACTATATTTACACTTTACTGGAATGGGGCAATAAATCTTAATTAAGAGATGCAAAAAACTTATGGAAAAGGTCTTCGCAAATTATCACTTCCGGATTTTCTAAAATTACAGAGACAGAAGCGTCGGGATACAAAAGCGATCGGCGAAATAAAGAAACTTAGCTTTTTGCAGCAAAACTGTCTCAAAACTGAAAAAACCAAGGGCGTCATGCTCTGGAGAATATTTTAAAGAATCTTTTGGAGAAAACCGCATGTCGGTCGATGCAGCCATTAAAAAGCCTTTTGAATAGCAAAATTCGGCCACCACAAATAGATAATAGATATTTGAAGAAGAAGTTTTCCTTTCGTTCTTTTGCTGGAGCAAAAGCGTCCATTATTCTGTTGACGAAGTTGGGCATGCTGTCAATGATGTCCTTGTGGATCGACATAAACGTCAGTGTGATTTCTGGTATTTTGCATACTTCCCTAAATGTCGTCTCGAATTTGTAGTCCTTCAGAGTTGAATAAAGGCCCTGGATTATACGACACTGAGCAGAATTATATATTTCATTGCAATGTAATACTTTTAATTCTGTTCGTAATTTGATTTTAAGCAAAACAGTAATATTTCTGTAAACGATCCTAAAAGAACTGTTGGAAACGACTTTTGATAGTCCTGGAATTAATTGGAGGAATCGCAGATTGAGAGTGCGTTGATTTTATTATTTTTTTTGGCTTCAAGAAACTGTCACAATTTGAGTAACTATTATGTCACAGGCCTACTTTGCAGCAATTTCGTTGGAGTTGTAATGTCTGCGTCTCTTGGAAGCGTGTTTCTCTGTGGTGTGTTTTGTTGATAGAACACGTATATTGTTTCTAATTTCATCGACGGCTACTTTAAACGTGTTAGAGCTTGTTCGGTTTCTCTGGGCGTTGTACTTCTGTGTTAAAGGATCCCATAAACAGCGTCAACGTGCATGAACACTTTGTTGAAAAAGTGCAAAAGGAAGAGAAAATGTTTCACTCTTTCATACATTGATTCAGGATACCGTCGTGGATGGAATTATCGTCCCAGTGCTCAGACTGAATTTCTTCAAGACAGAGCTGGATCTCTCCTTTCCAAATGAAGACTGCGCTAATTAGTTGAGGAGGTAAATTCCACCTTGTTTCAGACGGCCATGGAATATTCCGGTGACAAATGCAGATGCCTTTTGTAGAGTGGGTAAAACATGTCGAAGAGTCAGCATAGCGTTAGTGAAAAATACCTCTGTTCCCCGACAAATCACCCTTTTCATGACCGCGAAGGGCGAGTTTGTGAGTTTCACAGAACAAAATACACTAGATAGCCTGATACGGGGTGCCCACTACAGCAGGATCGGGCCAATCGCCCGACTCGATCGCCTGAAACTGAAAACAAACACGTTTGTTTTTTAAGCTAGTCGTAGTGGGCCCCCGTATTACACAATATGTGCCTGTTCTTTCTCACCAGTTAGTTATAGTGGGACGTTGCAATGCGATGACCTACGACTAGCTGCTATGTCTACTTGTAAAAGTATGATTCTTAACGGCATTTTTTACGTGCGCTCTTGGTGACTTTTGACTTTACAGCGTTGTTTCACATGGACAAGATCAGTAAAACCTGTCTTAGACTTCTTGGGGTCCTCAGTTCCAAAAAGCAGACAGGAGAAACAGTAGGCCTAATCTAGGTCTACAATGAGTATAATTTGCTAACGCTGACTGTAAGCCACTCCACTTTTTTTTTATTCATTGTATTATTTTGATATTTTTGGGTTGGTGAGGGCTTAATTCATTCACTCTCTTCTTGTTACTTTGTTTGGTGAACTGAATTTATTTGCAATCAACTTCATTCATCCTGCATTGGAATACACACCTGAGTATTAAAACTTTCACCACTTCACCATTCCAACTTCTAACACAATGACCTAATTACGTCATGTTGACCTCGCTCAAGTTCAGGGTTACAGAGGTGGGGCAAGAGAATGGACCAATCGCACATCGCTGTATATATATACAGTCAAACCTGCCCTGACGGCCACCGTGTGGAGTCAAGCAGATACGCGCCTGTCAGCGTCGATCTAAGTTTCGGCGTTCTCTATGCTTTGGCCCTAAGACAGGTGGCCGAAGACTGATGAAAATGAAGAATACAAACAATTCCCTTCTGATATCCCAACCGAAGGTGGCTAGGCCTACTATACTCTTAGGACTTTTATAAGGCTAATTAAAGAACATGTATTGCTGGCGGGTGGGGGGGGGGGGAGCTATGAACTTTAACACGACTTGCGGGGGGGCCGTCAGTGCTTCTTTTTCTACTTGCCCCCTGTGGCCGGGGGGGGGGGGGGGGTGGGGGGTTAGGAGAAGGAGGTTGTTGTTTTTATTTTTTTAAGGAAGTTGTTAGGGGACTGTTCCTAGCGCTACCCACTGGGGGTCTGTACAGTCCCCTAGCGCTGCTTACTTGGGGACTGTGCAGTAGGGCTGTACCCCGGTAGCAAACCCGCTCGTGCTCGCAAGCCCCTAGTTCAAGTCACAAGCCTCAAATCACTAGGTCAAATCATTAAATCAAATCACCAGCATGATAAGTTGAGTCTAGCGCAAACTGTAACCTCCTTGGTTTAGTGTAAACTTCAAGTCCACAGCAACTAGCAATCCGCAAAGCCCCTCGTGTCAGACCCTCTCATCATCCCCACCCTGCTTGCAATTCGCGAAGCCACTTACCTCAGAAAAAGAGAGAGGGGGAGAGTGAGAGATCCCGCCCACAGTGTCACTGCGCGGCGTGGCGCTGTAGTTTGCTCGATTAATTGAAGGCTTGCGCAAAGCAACGGACAGCCCTCAAGTCTCAAATCCCGTCCGCAGCCACAAGACCCACGATTCACACAGTACTGATTTGCGCTAGGCCTAGTGAATTGTCCCAGGACAAGCTCGAAACATGACCTTCTGACTTGTGCTGTCTCGATACACCGAGCGAACGGCACGCCGCAGGACCGCTCGATGGCGGCAGTACCGCTCGCTGTGTGAACTTTGAACCGTGGAGGAAGGGAGAGGCTGGGCTTGTTTTGGTGCAAGCGTGGCCTACGTATCACGAAGTCACGAAGGCCACGATGCAAGACGTAGAGCCAAGACACAGTCTTATTTCGTCTTGGGTAGAGAGCTGAAGTTATTTTTAACTTCCTGCCGTTGATGAGCTAAGCGAGTGGATAAGTGAGAGGGAGCATGGTATTGTAGTAACAGAGACCTAGGTTTCTGGTACTAATAAGAATAAGTAGACTTAGATTACCCTAGAATGGAAAACTCCAGGGGTCGTTGTGATTGGCTTTTGTATCGTGTGTATGTAACCTATTTTGTAGACGTGTTACACTCACAGTGACATAATACAGAACATTTAGGAGACGGGCTAGGCCTACTTCAACCCAATGTCAGGGCCAACCTGGGCCGAGAGGGAACAACGCCCCAGCAGAAAGACGGAGGTTCTCGGTAAAAATTTCTCCCCATACGGGAATCGAACTGAGGTCTTTTGCGTGCGACGATGAAGCGCTTGGCTTGTGCACATTAAAAATAAACAGGCCTTAATATCGTAAGAATAGCCGATCCAATATTAATTTTTTAAGTGCATTGAATAGAGTTTTTTGTTTTTTACAACCGAACTATGAAAAAAAACAACGATCTTGCACTTTTGGTGCAAGCCTCTCAACGCAAATAACCAGAGAATCTTCTGTAATATGTACTGAGCCCACAGCCACGAGAGTTCCTGACGTCATGACACAGTACAGCAGGACTGTCCGCTAGTCACAACTCACCGGAAGTTCCCTCCGGTAGCAAGCGGGAGGCAAAACAAATCACAAGCCTGCTCGCAAGCCTCTAGCGCAAGACGTCCGCTGCTTTGCAAGCCTTCGATTAAATGAGCAGAATCCAGCCCTACTGTGCAGTCCCCTAGCGCCGCTGAGATCTACTCGGGGACTGGGGACTGTGCAGTCCCCTAGCGTTCCACACTGGAGGACTGCAAAGACAGTTTAGATGTTTGTCGTAATAAATCTTGAACGTGCATCCACTCAGCACATTACACCCTCTTAGCACATTACACCCTAAGCCCAGCATTATTGACTTTTTTTCTCTCACTGTTACTAATGTTTTATGACAAAACACTCTGAACAGGAAAAAGCTTGCCCCGGTCGAGATGTTGACGTTTTTAGATATTAGTCTATAAAAATGTTATTTCTCAATCTTTTTCAATTCTGTTTTCAAAGATTTGAAGAATAATTTTAAATTTGAAGAATCCAGGATTCTACTTTAAGTAGTACCCTTGACTATTTACTGATACTGATACACCACATGATTATACTTAGGTAAAAATTCTCAATTTTCAAATCTTCAGTGTTCAGTTTAAAACACATTACACTTGGTAGACTAATATTTCTGACCAGTTAAAAGAGCTAGCCTTCTCTTATTATAATTCTCTGGTCGGCAGCAACAACAACAAGACCACCTACATAGGCCTAGCACAGACTTGCCAACCCTGACAGCTACATTTACTAATTTTCTCATATTTTTACCCCAAATCCAAGCCATGTTTTCATATTTCCAGTAAAAAAATCATATTAAAAAAAAGTTTTGATTGAAAAGGTGTCGGAGCTTTGAAAAGAGCTGCTGCTGCTACTACTACTACTATTACTACTACTACTACTACTACTACTACTGCTACTGCTACTGCTGCTACTGCTACTACTACCACTACCACTACCACCACCACCACCACCACCACCACCACTACTACTACTACTACTACTACTACTACTACTACTACTACTACTACTACTACTAACTACCACTACCACTACCACTACTACTCAGGGTTGGTGATTTTTTTAATTTTTAAAATAAAAATTTAAATCAAGATTTTTTGGATTTAAATCTGATTAAAAAAATTTTTTAAATAAAAAAAAAAATGTCGACACAGTTTGGGATTTTTGGTTGCTAGAAGTATGTTCTTTTAGTGCAAAATGCATTGTCTTTATTTTAACTAATGGTTCATTTAAGCAACCGCAAAAGAAAGCCTTAATCTGCTATATATATATATATATATATATATATATATATATATATATATATATATATATATATATATATATATATATATATATATATATATACAGTCGAACCTGCCCTGACGGCCACCTCTATAAGACGGCCACCTGTACAAACGGACACTTTCCATTTCCCCCCTTGCGTTTTTTCTATATAATTTAACTGTGTAAAACGGGCACCTGTCCAACGCGGCCGCGGCCACCATATTTCAACACACAACCCCTATCACACAAAGCAATAACACCTGTCTTAGACGGCCACCTTGCCTTACTGACTCCATTACGCTTTGTCCTAAATCAAGCATTGGCCCCTGGCGTTGTGGGCGAGCCGTCATAATCTAAAAACCTGTCGTTGTTAGGTAGTCCCTCCAACTGATCATGTTGCGTAGGCCCCTCCCACTGTTGACCAATAGGTAACAAAATTAATTTTCAGCTGTTGGGGAGGGAAGCGTGTGATCCCTCATAACCCATAAGCCCCACCCAGAACCCATACACAAATCGCAAGTGAGATGAGTGGTCACTGTTTACCAGAGAGGGTTTACAGTAATAGTATTACTGTAAACTCTCTGCTGTTTACCCAGTCTGTAACAAAGTAACAATGGACGTCAGCATGAACTTGTGACAGAAGCGTCGCTTGTTGTCCGAGTGGTAGTACGGGTGTTTCACTTGGTTCTCCCTGTCTGACATATTTCGTTTTATTGTCACCCGTACACAAAAACAGCAAAAAAAGAAAATGAAAACCCAGCGAAAACAACAACAACAATGCAACTAACTTCGGTTGGGACCTCAGAAAGGAAGGGTTTGTTTTCTCAGAAAGGAATGTTTTGTTTTCTTCATCTTGATCAGTCCTGCCTAAGACGGCCACCTGTCTTATACGACCACTTTTCTCCTTGACAATGGGTATATATATATATATATATATATATATATATATACATATATATATATATATATATATATATATATATATCAGTGAATTATGGCTACAGACAAAAAATGAAGAAAATGTCAGTCTCAAAGGAAAGGGGGGGGGGGGGTAATTATGCATAGATAAACTTGCATTTTATTACAGTGTGTGTGTGTGTGTGTGTGTGTGTGCGCGCGCGGTTGTGTTTGTCTAAAAAGAAAAAGAAAATGTTAATTTCAATAATGAAAAAAAAAGTCAATTGAATACTGTAGTATTTTACAGTAACAAGGGGGAAAGCAGACTTTTAAGCATGATTATTTAGTCTACTAAACCTTATATACTGTTTTATAAAACCAAGGAAAGGAATTCTGAATATTTAAAGATGTAAAAACAGAATACATAAAAAAAAAAAGTGATTTAAATCACTGAGTTTTATTTTTAAAATCAAGTTCATTAAAATTTTTTAAAAATCAACTGATTTAAATCAACCCAGCTCTGATTTCAATTATGGAAAAAAAAGTAAATTGAATACTGTATTATTTTACAGTGAAAGGAGGGAAAGCAGACTTTTAAACATGATTATATTAGTCTACAAACCTTATATCTGTTTTATGAAACCAAGGAAAGGAATTCTGAATGTTGAAATATGTAAAAACAGAATAAAAATAAATTTAAAAAAAAGTGATTTAAATCACTGATTTTTATTTAAAAAATAAAGTTGATTTCAATAAAAAAAATCAACTGATTTAAATCGACCTGATTTAAATCAACCCAACCCTGCTACTACTACTACTACTACTACTACTACTACTACGAACTACCACAACCACTACTACCACCACTACTGATGCTTCTGCTGCTGCTGCTGCTGTTGCTGCTGCTGCTGCTGCTACTACTACTACTACTACTAACCACACTGAAATCGTAGCATAGATCCAGATAGACATACTACTATGGGAGGCAAATGTTGAGCTTGTTGACCTCGACCCAGAAAGTCAAAGGTATTTCTCTACAGTCCCCCAGTATGGAACACTAGGGCTACGTAGTTCCCGGTCTCAAGACAGCCTCAAGATGATCTCGAGATGCTATTGAGGCGATCTCAAGGCCAAGACGGTCTCATGGTGGTCTCACGATGGTCTCACGATCTGATCCGTGAGCGATCTCATTTGTGCCCTCACACTCCACAGGCCAGCACATTATCACTATGATTCCCACCCAAAGTGAAGTTGCTGCAGCCTGCAATTCTAATGCTATAGCAAAAATCATCGTAGTATAATGGGTGTGACAGAACTTTTGCAACTCGGTTTATATACACATTTATGTCTACACATATATGTTTATTCTCCCACATAAACAAAATTGAGATCATTTAGGATTTAGGAGGTAGGTTTTGATCTTGCCAGTCAAGGCCAACCAGGTCTGAGAGGGATACAACATCCCAAAGAAAGACTGAGTCTCAATAACAATTATTCTCCTCACATGGGAAAAAAAAATGAAGTCTTCTGTGTGCTGTGGCAGAACACCTTACCTTTACACCACAGGTGTCAGTTGTCATCATGTAAATGCTCTATCTGATCGTTCATACATAAAAGTAATAAGTGTTGTTGTTTTCTCCTCCAGTTATTGCTGTGGGGTACAAATCGGGAATAATCAGAGTCTGTGATGTGGAGAAAGGGGATCAAGTGTACATTGCAGCTGTGAAAGGAGCGGTCACCAATGTGGTGTGGTTAGAGCAGTCGAAACAACTGAGTGAAGGGGAAGAACACTATGCAGAGGATAATTCTGAGAACTACTTGCCCTCAGCAAAGCAGCAGCAAACTCTGTAAGGACCTATTAAAGTTAAAACTGTATCTTTTCCATTACATGTATTCATATTCTCTCCTGACATTTCCCCAATTTCAGATCATAGTGTCATCTGTAGAAGTCCAAAAGCATTAGACTTGAAAAGAAAATGTTTGAGATGTATATTGATTCTTATTTTCAATTACCTAACTACCCTCATGTGATGTAAACGATTCACTTTTAAATGTAACAAAGCTTGTTTGAAAAGAAAGAAGAGAAATTTCAGTCTTTTCCACCGTAGACAGTTTTGCTCAGTTAAATCTGATTTTGTTACTTTGCATGAATGACTTATAATTATCTATTGGAACTCTGCAGTTTTGGTGCAGTGCATTTCCCCTTTGTACTTTAAAAAAAGATTAAGTGAGGAATCAAAATTTTTTTCTCACTTTCTTTATTACAGTTACAGTGAAAGGAACGTTTCTAAGGAACAATCGTAAGTGTTTGAAAGAAAGGACTGTGTGTCATGTAGCACAAATAAAGTATGGTGGAACTCGGATTCAACGAAAGGAGTAGGATTCCCCATGTATTTTATTAAATAAAATCAATTTTTAAAAATAACTTGGATTCAAAGAACACATTAATTGAGCGAGCTGGGATTTAACAAAGTCACTTGCAGCCCCCACAATGAACCTCATCTATTCCTGAAAACCATCCACGTCATTTGCGTCGTGAACCATTATTTACTTCGACTATTGTTTATATCTAACGCGACCAGTCAGCGGCCTTCATTCGTACCAGCACACACGTTAGCACGCACACATGTCTTAGTGTGTGTCAGGGTCTGACGGGCGGCCAGCACATGTGTGACCTGTGAGTGTGTGTGTGTGTATGTCTGAAAGGAGGGGGCAAAAGCAGTCTGGGCGTGGAACGTCTGTAGGTTTACAAGGTCGTCACAGTTTTTTTGCCGGGATACTAATCAATATTACAATGATAAACTAGTCTTGACATAAATCTATGTAATGAATTGCGCTGCTGGACTGTGGAATCAATATTGTTGCCATATGCGAGGCTCTACCCAGCAACATAACTTGTTCGACAAACGGAACGTTATAGATGATAAATGACACAGGTGTGCATTTGAACCACTCAGCCCTTTTGTAGAGTGTTTGCTTGGTAGCGTTCAGTGTATTTACCTGCATTTTTTCGGTGTGGCATCAAAGAAATGAAAATGCTTCTCATTTGAAACCAGACTACTTTTGATAAAGGAAATCGACTATGTTCTATATATATATTATTGGCTTGGTGCCTGTAATCATCTACAGAAAAACCTCATGTTTGCTATAACGAACACTTGGATTCAACGAACATGAAGTTCAGGTTTAAAGACTTCGTTGAATCCGAGTACCACTGTATACATATCATGTGTGGCATTGTGATGAAATCAGCGTTTAGCATTTGTCTAAATAATGAAATCAATGAAACCAACATATTCCCACACATACAGTATTTAGCTAAACTGAAGTGAGGGGGGGGGGATGCTCGACTACTTTTATGTCTATTTGAAAACATCATATTTCTGTGTGCATGTTACTGAAACATGTTGCCCAAAGGCACCAAAATGTATAAATTTGCAGTTTCCAAGGACACTCAAGCCTTGGAAGTCACCAAATGTTGCCAGTCATTTTTTAGCTGATGTTTATTTTTACCTCTGACCCTGCCTCATTCAATTGAAAATATCTCTATTCAAAACAGATTTTTAAAAATTCAAGTGAACAAGCTTTAGGACTACCAGTTACTCCATATGCCCAAAAATTGATGATTGCCTTGTGACGCACACATGCACATGCACACACATGGAAAAACTCGAAATCATGGGTAGTTTGTAAAATTTGCCGTTCCAGGACTGAACCATTATGTTCTCTTTGAAAAGGCAACACTGTTTTCTTGAACACCCATTATGTCAATAGTCAAACAACTTGCAACCGTTCTTAAAAAACAAAGTGAAATTTATCCTCTCAATTTGTTCTAATTCAGACTGTCGTGTGGGCATGAAACAAAATACCTCTGTTTTGAAATATAAAGACTTACTGGTTTTTCGAAATTCGTTTTTAATTAACCAAATGAGTTACAGTACTTTACTTTTTATCCTCTGAGATTCTATTCATCTAGAAAGTTTTGATTGTTTTCAGTGGTCTGGAAGCGTATGAACGGTTCAGGTATCTTACCTCACAAAAAGAGTGAGTATTGTTGCCACTTTTCCACATTCTTAGTAAGAGAAACTGTGCAGCTAGTTACTGTGTCCAGTTATTTCCACATTATGTTATGTGTTTTTCATGTTTATATTCTCTGAATCTAAAGAAATTTTTCCGTTTTGTGAAATCTCTTAAAATGTTTCGTTTTTACAGGCTGCCAATGTGATTATAATTATAAGTAGTTACTGTGGATGAAGTATTCTAGTACATATCCTTTGTTACAGAGTGAATGAATTTTTTTCTTTCAAAGGCTTTCATAAATTAATAAAGTGCTTTTCTGGAATGTTTTTTAAATTGCAAGCATTTTCAGAGAGCATAAGAATCCTATTCAAAAATGTTGATTATACATGATAATTTGTATAAAATACATGTATGTACTCTTTTTCTACAGGCTGAATTTGCTTATTGTTGGTTCAGATGCATCTGAAGTATCCATATTTTCATATGGTGCCTTCCCTACAGCTATAGTTGATCTGTCAAGTGATGAAATTCCTGAGGTAAGCACAGAGATTTTTGTTTTGTTTGTATTCAATTGGTCGCAAGTTATTTCATTATTTATTTTGTAAAAATTATTTTTATTCTTACGATGTAATGGAATTTTCTCTCCTCCCCCCCCCACCCCCGTGACATCATAACTCTCTGTACGGAAAGTTTGATCCTAAACTTGCCCTCCCCTTCCGTAATTAAATAATTAAAGTAATGAAAGTAGTTTGGTATAGAAACTGGTAATTCTCATACACATCTCTGAGTAGTGTGTGTGTGTGCTTATTTTTTCTTTATTTGAATCACAAGTTATAGTTACCCCTGCTCACCACTGGGAGGTAGAAATAGGACTTAAAGTGTGATCCAATATTTGATGGTGCATAAAAATCAGTGAGGGCTGAGAATGAGATAAAAGAAACATGCATTTTTAGTAGAACAGTTAAGTCTTGACAAAATGTACAGTGGTAATTTCCTTCTTCATGAATTTTTCTTTCACAAAGCTCCCGTGTTTTAGTTTTAGTATGTCTCTTTTTCTCTGTTGTTATGGCGCTCTCAAAACTTCTATGATACACCCGTGTGACGCAAGCCTAGGCATTGTCTTTGTAGGACGCTCAATTTGCACATTCTCGGAGCTCTAGACGTAGACTGAACCCCCACACACCTTTTTTTTTACCCAAACATACATGTCCTTTTTCCCCCTCAGGGCTCTCTTGTCTGTGTGGATTGAGCTGCAGTAGTAGGGAGCTACAAAGTTGAAAGAGGGACTTAAAAATTTTCGGTTGTGTTATTACAAACCCTTTTAATGAGACATTGTTGAAGTACGGTACCAGACTATTATTTTTAATTTTTAGTGCTTTGAAAAATGCTTTTCTGTTTCTAGATGAGTGCCTTCTGGGTTTATAAAAATTTCTTTTATTTTTTTTCTTTGTTATCAGACCCCAACTCTTTACTTTGTGTTTTTCTCTTCAGTGCATGAGTGTTGATGATGCCCTCATCTCTCCAGATTTGAGTTGTTTGTCCATTATTTTGAAGTCAACTGTAGAAGGCATAATTCAGTACAGAATAAAAACGGTGAGTATAATCAGTGAATGCAAGCTTGAATGTGTAGTTTTTATTATTATCTGAACTTAATTGATATCTTGTCTCATGTCACTGAGTAACGATGTTATATAGTGTGAAAATTGTTTTTTTTAATTGTTTGTAGGAGAAAGAATGTGATGAAATTTCCAGCTTTGTGGGTTTTTTTTTTTTTTTGGTAGATGGACACCAATCTGTTGATAGCTCGCCATGAGGAGATTCGTTTGCTGGCTGCCAAGTATGTGATGGTTGCTTCTGCCCAAATGGTGAGTAAGGTTCCTATGCTGCATGGGAACATTTGTCAATGCTTTGCATTTATGACTTATACCGTGGTGTCCGAAAGAAACTTGAAAATGTAATCACCCAATCATTGTGTTAAAGCGTTGCACTGCACACTCATGCAGCACACCAGTTTAAAGCTAAATTATTTCTGCATCATCTGACACGTTCATAATTCATCTATATTAAGGGACGCCTGAGATATAGTCTCCCAAAATCGACCTTTAAAAAAGGGGGTTGGCAAAATTATGTGAAGTCAAAGAAAGGTAAAATTGTCTTCGCGTGTGTATTGAGGAGCGTCAATATTGATAGAATGGACATACTTTATTTATCCAATGAATGGAGAATTTTGTATTGCAATAAACAATTTTCTATTTTGATATTTTGTCATGATAGTTTCTGAAAAAATAGAAAACAGAGCAATCACAAATACCACGCAAAACTTGGACTTATCATTAAATGTGCTCATTATTATTTAGCGAGGAGCCATTAATTTTGTATATTGCACGAACCTTCAGGCATGAAATCTATTAAATTTTGGACATAATTATCGGTAATGTTGTCCCAAATGAAACAGAGAGTTTCAAACAAAGGGTCTGAATTTGGAGCAAAGTCGCTTTTCTTCAGCTGCTGTTTCATGGTACTTCACTCTTCACATAGCTGTAGGATTCATTTATTCATATCGGGGCTATTTAATGGCGACCACTCCAATGTTGATTTGGTTTGGTTTTCCAAGAATTACCTAATGACATTGGTCCTGTGAGAAAGTTCTTTGCTTTGCAGGGAGATGTCTACTTGAATGACACCATGACAAAAATAAGGGTAAGACATAATGCTACAGCACTTGCGTGATAAGGTCCACTAAAGACCAAGTCATCCAGTGATTCTCATGAGGGCGGTTTTGTCCATTCTACCCCAGACCACCCAAAACCATGGCAGTTTCGTGGCCTTTGTTCCCCACTGTCAGATGACTATGTCCAAAACACAGACCATGTGCAAAAAAAGGTTTCGTGCTCGACACGAAACCATTAGCTCCTAAACAAAAGCAAAATTAATAGTAATTAGCACATGTTATGTTAAGTCCAGATTTTGTGTGATATTTGCTACAGCTCTGTTCTCCAAACTCTTTGAAAATATCACTAGAAGATGCTGTTCACTGCAGAGACAGTAGTAATATTCTCTTTTTATTTGATATTCAATAATGTCCCTTACACCAATGTTGTGGCACTTCAGAATACGTGCGAACACACTTCTGCTTTCTGATTTCGCACAGTTTTGCCAAGCCTGATTTTTTAAGGTCACTTTTGAGTGACCATATCTCGAGCGTCTCTTAACATAGATCAAATATTAATGTGTCGGATGATGCTGAATTTATTCAGCTTTGAATTGGTATGCTGTATGAGTGGGTAGTGCAAGCCTATACCATGATGATTGGGTTATTACATTTTCAAGTTTCTTTTGGACGTCATAATAATTTTTCCATTTCAAAAGTCATTATTTTTTATGTTAAGTAGATTCATGCTCAGTACAATGTTATTGCATTGTGTATATTATTTTATTATGAATGTGTATGTGCTCATTTCGTAACGTGTGTGATAAGCAAGTAGATGTGTGTGTGTGTGTGTGTGTGTGTGTGCGCGCGCGCGCACGTCTGTATGTGTGGCGTGCATGTGTGTGCTCATGTGTGCATGAGTGTGTGTGTTTGTGTGTGTATGTGTGTGTGTGTGTGTGTGTGTGTGTGTGTGTGTATGAGTGTGTGTGTGTATGTGTGTGTGTCGCATGCGTGAATATTGTTCGTACGTGCATTTATGTAAAGCGCCTAGAGCTGTGTTTACACGGGAGTGGGTGCTATAGAAATGATCTTCATTATTATTATAAGAATGAACACATTGATGTTTTTAGCGCTATGTGTCATTTCTCGATAGTACTATTGAATCCAAGTACTTTAATATTGTCTTTGCAAGATGTCTTCTTCCCTTTGTTTTGTTTGTTTTTGTAAAGTGTTTTACGGCGCTCGCAACTGCATAAGGTCATATGAGCGCGCGGGACACATCTAATATTTTCAGTTGGTGGGAAATTTTGAATTTTGCCCGGGTGGCGGCCAAAGCCTACTCTTATCGATTTTAGACCACCAAGGGATCTTTAATGTGCGCAACTTGCACACGGGCCCTCCGAGATTTTTCGCCCTTGTCCGAGAAGGCTAGGTGTAGATCTTTCCTACCAGAAGATCAGGGGTGTGGCAGAAAGACAGCAGTAAGGAGGAGCCAAGGAGTAACAGTAGAAAGGCTGCAGAAAGAGTCAGGAGCCCAGAGGAGGGGGCAAAGGAGGTGAGGGGGTGGGGGGCAGAAAGTGGAAATGAAAGCAGACAACAGAACATTGCTAGAGAGCAGGAAAGGAGGGAAAGGAGACAATTTTAGAGAAGAAAATTTTTTGGTCGCCACCCGGATTGGAACCCGGGACCTCTGAATGAGAGGCCAACACCTTAACCTCTAGGCCACGAGAGCCCCCCTTCTTTCCTTCCCATTGATAAAAATCCTTGTAAGTGTAAAGTATATGGTTTGTTCTGTGGTTTTCTCTACCTTGTTATGCTTATCCTAGAACATCAGACTGTCTAGTTCTGCTTCCAGTGTCAATTCATTTGTAATACTACGACTTTTGGACTGTTTTTAGCTTTTGTTTGTTCTTACAAGGGATGTAATAACAGTTGTGTGTTTAAGAACAAAAGTGTGGTGGGTTTGAATGCTGTTAGCACTAAGAGTTAAAAGCATAAGAGTTGAAAACAGTTTTTTTTAAAGGGTGAAGTATAAGTATTTGCTTGATAACTTTGAGTTCTTTGATATGGTTTTATTGTATTGCTTTTTTTTTTACTAGGAGCTTCAGGTGATCATCCAGCAGATGTGTGAAGCCTGGGAGGACATTTTGCGGGAAATGGACTCCAGGCTCCTCAAACTTGCTGAAACCAAGCGTGTGAGTTCTGGTTTAATCATTGTGTTCATTTTTACAAGGGCCTTGTTTTTTATTTCTCTCTCTCTCTCTCTCTCTCTCTCTCTCTCTCTCTCTCTCTCTCTCTCTCTCTCTCTCTCTCTCTGTACTCTACTATTACTTTCTGTTCTATTTCTCATTGTGATTTGGATAGATAACACATTGTTAAACCAAGAGAAAGATTGAAAAGAAATGATTTGTTTGTTCCAGGTACCAATTTCAGGAATTTCTCAAGTTCAAGAAAAACTCTTGTTTCTAAATAATTTAGTAGTTCATCTGTCAATGTCTGATGGTGGCCAATGCATCTGCAGAAGATAATATTTCTCAAGCGATATAGAAGAATTAAAGGTTAAGATGATTTTTGGTTTCTGCTATGGCAGATGAGATCAACTCTGGCTGAGAAAAGTTTATCACAGTTTGAGTTTGAGCATTCAAAAGCTCCACTTCCACTTGTGGATATGCGCAGCTTGTGGGCTTCTCTCTTAGTTTCAGCATTTCCTATTTGTGAAGCCTCATATGGTTTGCTGCTCTCTGTGACTGCTGCTCTCCAACTGGGTTTGTCCCAGAACTAGGCTCCCCCATGTCAAAGGATTTAGGTAGAGTCCTTCAGAGACGTCTGGGTTTTTAAAAATTTGAAGCTCTTTTTTGGTGTGCCAACTTTACACTTCCTTGAGGACAGTTCAGAATAGAAAACTGAGTTTAGGATGCTGAAATCAGATTTCTTATGACAGGGGCAGCCCAGCGAAGTTGAGCCCCTAGACTCTTGGCATTTGCCTCTATTTGAGAACTTTGGTGGCTGGTATTTTATCCTGGATTTTTTGGATTATCATTTCATGTGGAAATGATTGAGCTTTTTGGCATAGGTGTGGTCCAGGTCTCAGCATCATACAACAGGGCTGGGAGGACCACAGCGTTGTGGACTTTCAACTTTGTCTCTGTGCACATGCCACATCCTCATCATCATCATTTGCCTTTTTCACCCTGGAATTGGGTATATAGGCTGCCAAGAAAAACTCTACACCTGTCTCTGTTCTGGGCGATCTTCTCCGCTCCCAGCCGGCTTTGTCCAAATGCCCTCTATCTCTCTCTCTATCTATCTATCTCTAAATCTCACTTCCAGGTGGATCTTGGCCTTCTTCTCTTTCTCTTCCCCTGGGGGTTTCATTTAAGGCTTTGTCTTGTCACATTGTAGGTTGGCTTCCTGAGTGTGTGTCCAATCCCACTTCTTTTTAAAATCTCATTCAACTGGTTCTTGTTTGGTTCGCCTCCATAATAATAATACTAAATTTATGATGATGTCTTCCAGTTGATATTCATGATCTTCCTCAGACAACCATTGCCTCTCTAGAGCCGTATGTGCCATATATATATGCGCCATATATGTATGCACATCAATTTTAAACAATGATATCTAACACCAGTTAGCTGTGATGGACCTAAATTCTGTATTTTGTGTTGATATAAAACTTATTCTTTAGAAATAGACCCATTGCAACATACATTTTGACTTTTTAGCCACTTTGTACACTTCTTATACAGTGCTATTTCAACTTAATGAGGTGTGCCATGGCACAAAGGGTTTTCCTTTCCTCAAAAGCCTGATGTGCCATATATTTGGCATATTTTCAATTTTGGTGTAATAAAATGAATTTGTCAAAATAGAAGCTTAGTCCATCTATTTGATGCTTTTCCATGCTTTTTCAAATTTAAGAATTTTTTCAAACACTGGAACTAGGTTCAGATTTGGGACTAATTTGTTTACGGTCTGCTTTGTTAGTTTCCAAATTTCCGAGCCTTACAACAATACGCATTTTACATTTGTATTGAAGATCCTAACCTTCATGCTTGTTTTGATGCTTCCTGATCTCCAGACAGACTGTAATGGTTGAAATGCTCCCTTGTTTTTCGAATACAGGCCATGACATTAAAGACTGTTCCTCCCATATCATCCATGACACTCTCTAGATGGGTAGAAGAGGTTATTTACTCAATGGGCCCGTCATTTATCTTAATGTCTTCTTTTACCCCTCTATGTTGAAGTATTGAATGTAGTAAGAACTTTTGTTTTTCCTGGGTGCACCTTCAGGCCTGTGCTTTGTGAGATCATTACCAAGTCCTGGGCTTTTCCTTTCATTAGATGATGACTGGAATAACAATGCCAGGTTGTTTACGAAGTATAGATCCTCCATCTGAGACCATAGTGTCCACTATATTCCTTTTCTCTTTGTCTCTGTTGGTGATTTCATTATTCAGTCTCTTGGGAGTGGGTGGTTGGGGAGCGCCATTGGTAGGTCTTACTTCTTTACTTTCCCTCTTGTCTGTCTGTCTGTCTGTCTGTCTGTCTGTCTGTCTGTCTGTCTGTCTGTCTGTCCGTCCGTCCGTCCGTCCGTCCGTCCGTCCGTCCGTCTGTCTGTCTGTCTCTCTCCAGCACTAATTGACAATTTCTGTTTTGATGTGCTTCTCTTTACTCAACAAGCACAGTCTATGATGAGTAGGACAAATAGGAATGGCACTAGTCTCAAACCCTTAACTAACGGGGGGCTCTCGTGGTCGACAGGTTATGGTGTTCGCTTCTCATTCAATAGATCACGGGGTCGAATCCGGATAGTGATGGGGAAAATTTTCTTCTTTAATATTTTCCCCTTTTACATACATGTACTTTCCTGCTCAACAATGTTCTGTCGTCTAATTTTGTCCCCACTTTCTGCCCCCTCCCTTCACCTCCTTTGCACCCTCCTCTGAGCTCTTGACTCTTTCTGCAGCCTTTCTACTGCTACTCGTTGGCTCCTTTTTACTGCTGTTTTTCAGCGACACCCTTGGTCTTATGGTAGATAAGATCTAACACTTACCCTTCTTGGATAAGGGCGAAAAATGTCCGAGGTCCCGTGTGCAAGTTGCGCACGTTAAAGAATTCTTGCTGGTCCAAAATCGATCAGAGTAGGCTTCGACCATCACCCGGGCAAAATTCAAAATTTCCTTTCAAACTGAAAATGTGTCCCACGCGCTCATATGACCTTTTGCAGTTGCACACACACACACACACACACACACACACACACACAAAAAGCTTACTTTATTTCGAGTCTTCCAAAGGATGCTCTAGCTTTATTCATACATAAAACTGATCCTGCATCGATGCTGGCATTTGAAGTCAGTTTACTGCCAAGATATTTACAGCTTTCATTACTTTCAACATTGTTTTTAGTGTTGCTTTATTTACGTACAGCCAAACCTCGTTATATCGCCCATCATTGTACCGCCAACCCCGCTTACCGCCAGGTTTTGCCAATGTACGAAGAGAATCCCCTATGTTATAACATAGTATATTTGTGCCTTTACAACGCCATCCGCCACCTGAATCTGTCTCAGTTGTACGGTCCTTATTAAACTACTGTAAATTTACCACGTTGCACCGCAGGCGAAGTTGCTGCAAGAACGACACTCACAGTAGGCCTACACACAAGGCTACACACACACGGCGCACGGCACATCCACTTGGTGGTTGCTTGACAATGTTTCACACACAGTTTCTACAAACTAGGCTAGGCCTAGGCCTAGGTCTAGATCAAACGCTTTTTGTCAATTTGCTCCCTCCCCGCCCATCCCACCTCTTCACCCTTGTCTTGCAGATTTTACTATTTTAGACAATAATATAATGGATAGATCTACAGTGATGTGGTGTGTCGCAAGCGAACACAATACAATGTTTAATGTAGAAGCATAACTTTGTAATTCAGCATCAAATTTCGCTCCCCGCGTGATGCGCTGATTGGGAAAATGCTATTATCTCTAGGCCTTGGTCGACATTTAAAAAAAATGGAATCCAATTTTGAGTTGCCTGAAGAAACTTTAAACAAACCCCGTCCCCCCCCCCTCCTCCCCGTTAAAATATAGATATCAGCCCCCCAAAATAACTGACAGTTACAGGTTGGCGAATGCCTGTGGGGCTTAAGTCTAAGTGTCAGATCAAAAGGAGATACCGCATTACTTCTTCTTGTTCTAGTGGTTGGTAAACAAGTTTCTGCGTTGGGCTGTCGGTGCTAGAGATATAGACTTATAGAGATATTTAACAGAGGACATGAAAATCTCGTTGTACCGCCATCTCCTATGTACTGCCAAATTCATGCTCGCCCCAAGGTAGGCGGTATATCGAGGTTTGACTGTATAATTTATTCAAAGAGGGAGGATCTGCCTATCACCAAGAGTAGACTGGATGAGAAGTTATACATGCTTAATTCTTCATGAGCAAGTAATGCACAATCAAATGCAAATAGCAGTTTCTATTTCTACATAAGCATAATATTGTGTGTGTGTGTGTGTGTGTGTGTGTGTGTGTGTGTGTGTGTGTGTGTGTGTGTGTGTGTGTGTGTGTGTGTGTTACAACACGGTGGAATATGACGTTTCCTCATTTCACCGCAAGGCAATTTTGTTGGATATCGGCAAGTTGGTATTTTCACAAATTTTGTAATCGAGCATAAACTGTAGGATGGTTATATCTTTATGCAGTAGTATTATGCTTAAAAGCTAGGTTCCCGTTTAAAAAAATCAAAAATAGATCCAGGTGTTTTACACATTCGACTGTAGGTGTTTTTATTTCCTGTAATTGTAGTGAGGCGGGTGGTCGGAATGAAGTACATGTAGAGAGTGATCCAAAAGAAAAACCCTACAACTTTTTTTGTTGATATTTTTCTCCACACTGAAGTTTTTCGTTCCAAATTTGTACTCAACATTTGGGAGTCAAAAGGAATTTGTCTGATGTTCATTTTAGATAAATCCACAGAATAGTTGTACTCTATATGGCGCGTAAAAAAGGAAACAACCCATTTTCAGCTATGTTCCCATTTTTGTAGCATGACACACTAGTTCGCATTAGGCCACAGAATTCTACACTTAGTGTAGAATTCTGTGCATTAGGCCTATCACTATCATTAAAAATTCCAAGTGCTCTGGTGTGGTTTTCTTCTTCTTTCCTATGAAACATCTAT